GTAATATTCCATTATGTTTATGTAATCTAATTTACTTTGTAGTTTCCCAATCAATGTGCAACCATTTTATTTCCAGTTCTTTGCTACCACAAAAAGTGCTGTTATGCATATTTTGGTATATATTGGAACTTTTTTCTCTCCTGTCTTTCACTTCCTTGGGATATAAGCCAAATAATGGGATTTCTGAGGGGCAGCAAGGTGGTACAGTGGATAGAGCACTGGGTTTGGAACAAGGAAGATTCATCTTCATGAGTTCAAATCCAACTTCAGACACTTCTTAGCTGTGTGATCCTGGGCAAGTCATTTGACTCTATTTGCCTCAGTTTCCTCATCTGTAAAATGAACTGGAGAAGGAAATGGCAAAACCTTTGGGATCTCTGGGTATCAAAAGATATAGACATCTTAATCACGTGTTAGCATAATTCCAAATGTATGATCTATTTCCTCCACTGGAGAAGAATTTTAGATGCAAGCAGATAGAGGGAAGGCCTTCTACTACACATGACTAAGTACACATCCCTTCTCTAATTTAATTTGTATTGACTGCATAACTCTGGAAAGTTACTTAATCTCTCCATGCCTCCAAACAATTCTCTAAGACTACAGTTATAGGGTTGCTAATTTGCATTGGTGGGCATTGGGGACAGGGAAGAAGAGAGATTAAAAACTATCAAGGGTTTCCACAGTAGAAGCTGTGAGAAGTTCAGATAAAATTAGGTGTTCTTATTAAAAAAAGAATCCTTCTACTGAGTCATAAGCTCCAGAAAAAACAGGGACCCTTCCTTATCTAAATTTCATATTCCCCTAACAGGACCAGGGAACATAATGCTAAAAGGTTTGTTAAACTGAATTTTATAATCTACGTAATACTCACCCACTACACTGCACCCGCACTCCCAGTTTTAGGAAGGTAGAAATAGCTTTTTAAACTTTGTATCTTTCTCAACTTCTCTATTTGGAATTTGAAACTCTTTACAACCATGTGGGTGCCAGCTGACTTTTCTAGCCTTATTACATGTCATTCCTCTTGATGAACTCTATTATCTAGCTCCATGGGCTTTTTTGCTATTCCTTACTGGATGCTACATCTCCTAAGCCTTTTCATAGGCTATCTCCTTTGCCTAGAATATGCTTCCTCTTAACTTCAGACTCTTGGAATCCCAAGGGTCCTTCAGAGATCAGCTCAAGACCCACCTCCTACATGAGGCCTTTCCTGACACCAGACACCCCTCTCCCAACTTCTAGTGTTTAACATACACATATGCACTTATATATGTAATAATATATAACATACATTATATTATATATAAACACACATTTTATATATGTATACACACATATTTAATGAGAAGCAGTGTGGTATAGTGGATAGAGCAATAGTTTTGGTATCAGGTAGTCCTGGGTTCAAGTCTCACCTTGTATACATACTGACAAGTTACATAAGCTCTCAATACCTATGACTATAAATTGCAGACTAGATACTGACACTGTCTTGGTAGAGAATTTCCTCATCAGGAGTTCCCTATATCAACAAAATCATCAGGTCTTGTCCAAATACATGTATGTGTGTGTTTGTGTGTGTGTTTTTTTTTCAAATACTTATTTGTGCACAAGTTGTCTCCCAGTAGAAAGTTAGCTCCCTGAGGGCAGGGTCTATTTAATTCTTGACTATGAATCCTGGGTTCATAGCAGGCACTTCTAATGCCTTGAAATGCCTTAAAAATGCCTTTTAATTGATTGATCTCCTTTTTCTAGCACTGTGCTCTACATGTAATTCAACAAGTATCAATTCAGTGCCCTCCATTGAAGGTTAGCTCCCTCGGGGTAGGGTTTGTTTGTTATTTTTTATTTTTGGCAGCAGGTGAGATGCTTGACCTGTAATAGCACAGGTATATGGAAACTTCCTAGTGGGGAAACTCCTTCTACTACATCAACACCTTAAGAGAGTTGCCTTAGGTAATGGAGAGATTATTTGGTTTTAGCTAGCATGTTTCAGAGCCAGGACTTGAACCCAAAACCAGCCCTCAATCCACTGCCTCTTCCTCCTCTCCCATCCCTCACTAAAAAAATAAAAATATAGCTATGTCATGGCACTTGCTCTCAAAGAATTTATAAACTAATGGAGTGGGGGGAGGGAAGGGGAGGAGCACAAGCATTCGAATAACAAGGACTAGGACATGTCAAAGTGCCACAGACAATTTGGGAAAGTAGACATCATTTGGCAGGAGTAAATGGGTCAAAGCGGCTTCATAAAAGAGATGATACCCAAACCAGGCATGGAAAGCACTTCCACAGGTTTTGTAGGAAAGAAAATTCTATCCACCATAACCACAGTAAGTAAAAGCATAGAGACGGGAGAAGGCAGAACTACACTGGGAAAAGCACTAAATTTGTGGTCAGGGGCCCATGGTTCAAATTCTGGCTCTGGCACTTGTGACCTGTGTGGCTTTAGTTTCCTCATCTATAAAATAAGGTGATTTAGATTAAGATGATTTCTAAGGTCTATTCTAGCTCTAAATCTATGATCGTCCAGCTGAAACATGAAGGGAAGGGTATAGAGTAAGAGAATATTAAACAGATAGTTTGGAACCACAATGTAGGTCAGTAGTCTGTCAGTTACAAGTTTAGTAAAAGTTTAATATGTATCAGGCATTCTGCTACATGGTGGCAATACAAAGAAAGGAAAAAACAGTATCTTTGTCCTTGAGGAACCCATCCTAATGGTGGAGAAAACATACAAACAACTACATACGTACAAGAGATATATAGAGTATAAATGAAAAGCAATCTCAGAGGGAAGCCCCTAGCAATGGGAGGGGCTTTCTTAGGCCTGCTGCAGAAGAGGAGATTTGAGCTGAGTTTTGAAGGATATCAAGGAACTCAGGGGTTGGATATGAAGAGGCAGCATTCCCAGCATGGGAGGCAGCCAGTGAAAAGGCAGAGAGCTAGAAGAACAGAAAGAAGGCCAGTGTCATTGGATTGTATAGTAAGTGGAGGAGAATTAAATGTAAGACTGGCAAGGTAAGGTAGGAAGGAGCCAGGCTGTGAGGGGTTTTTAAATGTCAAACAGGATTTTATATTTGATTTATATTTGGAGATAATAGGGAACCAATGGAGTTTATTGAGTGGAGGGGGCAGGGGTTTATGTAACATGGTTAGACCTACACCATAGGAAGATTCCTTTGGCATATGAGTAGAAAATAGACTGCAGTCTGGAGAGACTTGAAGCAGAAGTCTATTTCATTTGTCCAACCGTGAGATGATAAGCAGCTAGGGAAGCTAGGTCACATGGTGGGTAGAGCATCAGGCCTGAAGGCAGGAAGACTTTTGTTCAAATCTGGCCTCAAATACTTTTCTAGCTGTGTGACCCTAGGCAAGTCACTTAACCCTGTTTGCCTCAGTTTCCTCATCTGTAAAATGATCGGGAGAAGGAAATGGAAACCACTCCAGTATCTTCGCCAAGAAAACCCATGTTCAAGTCATGCAGAGTTGGACATGATTGAAATGATAGCAACTTCAACTCAAGATGATGAGGGCATTTACCAGATTGGCAGCTATATGAGTGGAGAGAAGGAGACTTCTAGGAAAGATGTTGTGGAGGTAGAAATGGCAAAACTTGGCAACAGATTGGATTTATGGGATGAGTGCAAATGAGGAGTAGAAGGGAAGGATGGTAGTGGCTTGGATGGAAATAGGGAAACAGGGAAAAGAAGAGGATTTAGGTAGAGAGATAGTTCTGTTTTGGACTTGTTGAGTTTGAGGTATGTATGGGGCATCCAGTTAGATACTTGCAGTTAGTGGGTATGACTTGGAAGAAGAAAAAGAAGACTTCGAAGGAACAGTTAGATATGTAGGAAGAGAACCAGGAGAGAGCAGAATCATGAAATACTAGAGAGGAGATAATGAATCAATGTGAGTTATAATCTGGGCCTCTGGTGTATTTATCACTTTTTACTTGGTATTACATGTATTCACCTTATATGTTAACTATCTGTACTAGACTGTGAATTCCATGAGGGCAGGAATCGGGACGCATCTCAACCTACCCCCCCATAACCAGCACAGAGCTCAGACCACAGAAGGTATTAGATCTTTGCTTAATTGAACAAGGCAAGGTGCATCTCGCTAGTGGGAAAGTGGAGAAAAGCCAACACTATATTCCCTAAATCCTTCCTTCCTCTCTCGTCTCCCTGACAGTTCTGGCCCAACCCAACCTCTATTCTGGGGGCTCCACTGAGAAGTTCTCAGATCCCTAAATAACCCTACGGGCAACAGCGGCGCCTCCTTGTCTTCACACCTGCCAGCCCCACAGTGACAACCCTAGAAAGTGTCAGGATGCAGCGCGCCCCCCAAATCGTGACGTCAGCACAGGGCCAGTGCCGTCACTCACCCTAACCTTTACCCTCACAACGTTCTTCACCCTCTCCCAGACAGCAGGAAGTTTTGAAACGGAGAACAACACATGAACCTTAAACCTAACCCTAACGCTTCCCAAGGAGGAGCGGGGAGACTACAACTCCCAGAATGCTTTGCCATAAACTCTGGAGGTCGTGATGCTATTTCCTAAGGGGGAGGAGTTGAAGCTTGGATGAGTTTCCGCAGCTGATTTGAGTATGGGAGGAAGCCGTAGTGACCTCCATCCATCTGAGTTTAGGCCGAACCAAGGACAAGGACGAGGGAGAGCGAACTTGACTTGATCACCCTCTTTTGCGCTGTTTGGGGAACACTATAAAGAAAACAACGTAAAGTAGTTTCATATATCTCCTTCTCATACTTTACGCCGAGTACTTTTCTTGTTCCGCCATGTCGTCTGGGAGCACGGACCCCACCCCCCCGAAACAATATATAGTATGACCCAACATGGCAGCGTTCTCTTAGCCTCAACTAGGGGCGGAGCCGGAAGCGGTCCCACCCCGCCTCCCCGCCTCTCTGCAGGAGGGCGGGCGGCTTGGAAGGGGCGGGGTTCCGCTTCCGGCAGCGGTGGCTGCAGCCTCGCTCTGGTCCCTGCGGCTGGCGGCCCAGCCGTGTGTCTCCTCCTCCGCCGCCGCCATATTGTCTGTGTGAGGAGAGGGGAGAGCGGCCGCCGCCGCCGCCGCCACCACCACAGGTAAAGTGGAGTGGGGAAGCGGGGGGGTTGGGAGTGTGGGTTCGGATTGGGAGAACAAAATTCGCTGCTCAGCTGGCCCCTCCGAATTGCTTCTAGAAGGCCTGCCGCCTTAACCCTACTCTCTCCCCCCCCCGGGGGGCCCCCAGCAGCCTTCAGGGCCGCCTCTCGGGGGGCCAGCAGGGGCCGGGGCGGCAGGCGGGGACATCCAGGGGGACGGGGAGCAGCTCTCCAGGAAAGGGAAAGAGGAAATCTGGAAGTGTGTTGGGGTAGGGTTGTAGGGGGCTGGGGAGCCCCTCGAGGTGGAGAGGCTGGGAGGGGGGACGGCCTGGAAGGAAAGGGGAGGAGACATGGGTGGGGCGGGAGGGAGGGGCGGCTGACGAGGTGGGGGGGAGGGGTGTTGCAGGAGGTGGAAGAGGAGGAGGGAGGGGGCTCCTTGGGGGACCTTTGAGGTGGGGTTACTGCCCACTCGAAGGCAGAGGGTTAGGCTGGAGGGAAGTACAGGGTGGGGTCCATCGAGAGCAGAAGACCCTGGTGGGGAGGGACTAGGAAGGATGGGTGGGGTTGTAGTTTGAGAGATGATTTCGAGACTGGGTTTAGGCCAGGAAAGATAAGGGAAAGGGGTCTATTCAGAGTAGGTCTGGTGGCCTCTGTCTATATCAGGGTTAGAGTTGTAAAGGTGGTTAACTGATGAACATGTGGAAGATAGGGGTTAAGTTAAGGTTTTGTGGAGTGTGTAGGGGGAGGGGATGGAACAAGATCAGCAATTGCTTGACTAGAAAAGCGATGGGATTTAGACAATAGGGAGGAGCTTCCATAGGATGTACTTTTATGTGGTTGGGAACAGTGTTCAGTCAATGAACTTCTTGAGTATTAGGAAAGATAGCTTTGTAGAAAAGGAAAAGAAGAAAGAAACAGGTGGCCCAAACGTTAAAATAGGAAATATTTTTAGTGGGATTAGCTTCCTTATTTTATGGGACTAATAGGTATTAATAAGTTTAACCTACATTTGGATAAAATTGGAGACCAAGAACCTGAGAAGAACCAAGACTTCCGAATGTTTTTTCTACTTACTGTATGACCTGTTTGTTCTTAAGTCAATTGACTTGACAAGCAAGTCTGACCTGGGGCTGAATGTTAAAATTTGGCCTGGACTCCGGTGTCCTTGTAAACACCTCCAAGAACTTGTAGTTGTTACTCTTCTCCATTCCAGAATTCCACCTTCAGTTTACCTGGATTGATTTGCCTTGTTCCAATTTTGGTGATTTGGCTTCATAATCTTTTGTGGGGGGATGGGTAGTAAAATATTGACTTGGAAAACAAATTGCCTGTTATGTTTTCTGTTTGATCAGCTGAGTAAAGAGTCAAATTACACTAGGACAGTTATATTAAAAACAAAATTTTGAAATAATAGAATTTTAAATGTTGGAAATAATCTAGTCTAGTCCCTTTTACAGATGAAGAAATTGACACTGAGAGCAGCTGATTTTACCCAAGGTCACAAATAATCCTAGTTTAGGTTCTTTTAGTAAAGGACTGATGGTGGGGAAAGAAAGAGGCCCAAAGTTGAGAAAGGGATTCATTTATGGGCAATGGTTGCTTCTTAGGGGCTGATAACAGCTGGTAACTAACTGTCTCTACACAAAGATATTTTTAGTTCTCCCTTTTGCTACCCACTACCTTCCATAATAAATCCTTGCTTTCACTTTTGTCTCCATGTTTGAACATTTAACTTAATATCCTGCCTTTTTCTTTTATATTCTTTTTAACTAAAGAATGAATTCCTTTGAGAAGTCATCTTAAAGTCTTTAGTAGATAAGAGCTGAAAAAAAAAGTTTGTTGGGAATAACTTTCTAAAGAACAAAGGCAACAAAGGATTACTTTTCTGAGGTGCCTGGCTCACAGATGCTTGGGTAGCATTGGGAAAACTTCCTCTTGACACTTAAATGTTCTGCTAGCATGAGACTGTCTCTGTTCTTTGATGTTTGTACGACAGTTCAAAGGTGGAAAGACCATCAACGTGGCAAAATAAAAGTTTAGTTGTGTATTGATAGAACTTTCAGAAATAGTTTTTCTTATTCTGTCTACCGTAATAGACTTCCTGGAAAAAATTATATGTTTAACATGAAACTTACAGAGATGTTGTCATTTTGTCCCTATTAATTTATGTTGCCCAGTAGAAATATGTCATCAGTAAGATCAAGTATACAGTTCAGTGCATCACCCTTTTGGAAGTTTATGCTTTTTAGAAATAAGGACTGTGCAGTGATCCAGTTTGGTAAACCTCTGGAGATTATGCAAAGGGTTCTACTACTCCTTCCATCCACATCATTTGCATTGAGGTCTCAAGGCTACCTATCTTTAAAGGCCCATGGATTTTATCTGTCACCTTCATTTCAAGGTTTAAGAGTCAGGCCCGAGACCTGCTGAATTATGCAGGATGTTGTATTTAGTGTTTGGAGAAATGCCTTTTAGTCTTAATTTAAACACTTCTATAGAATCAAGTGTAAAATAAATAATGGTTTTTTTAAAGTAGAAGAATCTGAAATGGATGAGACTGGGCTTGAGTAAAATGGGCTATAGGAGAGGAAGTAACTAACTGAAAGAATACTTGGAATGGGAGTCAGAAGTTGCTGTGACCTTTAGCAAGTCACTTTACTTCAGGCCCTAGTTTTCTCATTTTACTAGATCGGGTGTTTTTAATTTTGGGGGGGGGGGGGGGGGAGGATGTAAGAGATGAACATTTTTGGCAGTCTGGTGAAGCCTATGGACTCCCCAGAATAATAGTTTTTAAATTCATAAAATAAAATACATATTATTACAAAGGGAATAAATTAAATTGAAATAAAGTTATCAGAATGTTTTAAAAATCGAGTTCTGTGACCTCGGGATAAGAATGTCTGCTGCCAGATAATCTTTTAAGGGTCTTTCCGGGTGAATTTCTGTCTTACATATTTAATTGGAGGGGAGGGAAATGTTCTCTTTGTTTACAATTTCATAGAAGCAAAGAATTATAGAACTTAACAGACCTTAGATAACGTATTTAGTTTCCTTGTTTTATAGATTTAAGAAAATGAGTAAGAGACTTACCCAAGGTCCCATAGCTAGTTAGTGGCAGATCAGGGATTAGAACCCACCTTTCTTTACTCCCAGTCCTATCATGCTTTCCACTACATTTGCACTGTGGTCCCAGGGCAATGTGTATATATGCACATGAGCACACAGTTCACAAGTTAACTGGTATGACTTGACCTATTGGATAAGTGCTCAGCCTTCTTTTGACAATAAGTTTCAAATGAGAAATCCTAGGTTTTTGGTCCCTGGCCTGTCATTAGTTTCTTGGATGACCTTGAGTAAGTTGTTTACCATCTCTGTTTCTCAGGAGTGTTTAGGGTGAATTAATATTGCTTTTGAATGCTTATGATAGATGAGGCTACAAAAGTACAAAGTATTTTATTACTTGACTGTGTTCAACAGTGAGAAATGTGGGCCAAACTAGACTTGCAAACAAGGAAGAAATTTCTCCAGGATTATTAAGACAAAATTCCCACTAAAAGAAAGATCTGAGTTGGATTATGGATACAGAGTTATTGTTTTTCTCCCTGTATTTTGTATTCCCTAGAGTAGATTTTAGCAGATTTCTCTGTTGAGTAGTCATTTTCCCATGGTCTAGATATCAAAGATTGTTAGGCCTTTAAAAAAAAAGTTTGAGGGTGAAAGATTCACAGTATCGCAAGCTGCTGCTAAGAGTGGCATTTCAATACTTGCTTTAGGATCCTACACATAAGGTACCTACCTAGTAACTGTTGCTATGGTGGGCAAGCTTTTTTTTTTCTTTAATATTCTTTCTCTGTGAAGGAAAGTATTGATGCCTTTTCTGAAGTAAAGGTTAACAGCTTAGATTAAAGATGCTCTTACACAGTTTTAGAATTGTGGGTTCTTAGAACCATTAGAGCTCTTTTGAAGGTATTTGTGTATTTTTACAGTTTTCTTGTTTTGGTGATTTCCTGATAGAATAGATAAATTTATTTTAGTTTGTTGAGAAAGGTGAGTATTGTGAATTCTCTGAAATTATAATTATATATGCTGATAGGTTATTCAGAATTTTTTGTAGGTTTCTAACAGTATTTTCTAGTTGCTAAGTCAACTCCCCAGTAATGAGATTTTAATGCTCATTATATATCTTCAGATATTAAGACGTTGATTCTTAAAATATGAATCATTATTCAAGTAAAGGGGAAATTGCAGAAAAATTCTCAGATATGTAAATATTCTATTAATTTACTTAGTAAATCAGAATACACAGGGATTTGCCATGAACTTTTTTTTGGCCATTGCACCTGTAACAATTGTAGTGTTTACCAAATGGCACAGACTCAAAAGGTGAGTTATTTTACCTTTCCAGTCTTCTCTTTCTTCATCTATAAAATGAGAAAGTTGGACTAGAGATTTCTAGGTCACTTCCAATTTTTAATCTGAGAGAAATTGTTGTAGTTAGGGTCTAGAGCGTTATATACTTTGTAGGATATATAGAACATCAGAGTTGAGAGTGACCTTAAAGAGCATGTGGTCCAACTCTCTCCTTTTATAGATCAAGACTAGAAAAATGAAATGACTTGCTTAAGGTTTCCTCCATGTTCAGTGAGCAGGACTTGAGCCCAACTTTGCAGACTAACTCCTAAGGCTCTTTCTACAGCACAGAAACTTGGACACTTTCTGAAGTGTTTCCTGTTTCAGTATCAATTTGCTTTGTGTACATGAGGGTGTAATTTCTGAAAGGTATTTGTAATTTAAAATTTAGAAGTTCCATGACCTTTATTAAAATGAGGCTATTATCATTGAAGACAGATGGTTACAAAGGAGGTGATTCAGGACTAAGACAAATCTTCAGACTTAATTGTCATTTCAGTTGTCTTTTTAATGAGATTTCTTGATATACAGTTTCTGTTAGTGGGTAAAGTTCTGTGTTGCTGGTACTTAAAATACCAGCAACACAGGGCCTT